GCGTGTTTTAAACATGTTGAGAGCGCCCAGTTTCCCCTCACAGTCACCTCGAGATATTAATAGGCACAAGATACTTGTGGTGATCAAGAGCTCGGCAAGGTTAGAAAAATACTGGGTATTTTTGTGGAAAACAAGCTTGTCCAGAGTTACAATAATGTAGATTACCCAGAGCCAGGGATTTTGCAAGGAATATTAAATTCTCTTCCTTCAGGGCACAGACAAGCCTCAAACTTACAGGGGATTAGAGAGAGATCTTCTCTTTGGGTCGAGCGTTCAAAGGACTCTCAGTGGCTGGGCTGTATATCTCCTCAGAACAATTTTTGCTGGCTACTGTCTTAGACAAGATGCTAGAGCAGATGGGACAATCCACATTTTCGTTTCTGAAACCAGGGGCACTATTTCTTCAAAACGCCAGGCACTGAAACGCACCAAGACAAGGGGTGGGATCCATCACACCTAGCTTCAACTAATCATTCAGGCACGTTTTTTGTCAGTGGAAAGAAACGGGTATTTACAAGGGATAAACCACCTGGTTGCCCTTAACCTAATTACAAGCTGTGGGTCATTTGGCTGTTTTTAGCCATCCAGCTTTTCTCTATCTTTCTTGTTAAGTGAGTTCCCCCGTTAGCTCCCTTGGCCCAAATGATGAAAAAAAAAAAAAAAGATAGAAAAGGGGACGATAGTTCACCCAGAGTGTCATCAGCTGGTAATAAACCACCAGCAAAGGCAACAATTACAAAAGATTTGGATATATCTGCAGCAAGCTATGATCTTCTTTGCTAGAAAGAAACAAAAACAACACTTCCACGTAGCAGACAGACTTCAGTTCTGGGTAATCAGCCTCCTGTCAGCTGTAGTGAACACTGGCAATCTTGCCCTCAGCACTGTCTGATGGATAACCCTTTAAATCTGGAGATAAGGGCCAGGTGTGGGCCTGGGGTGACCTCTTTTGCTCAGAGTGGTGGAAGAGATTTCTCCGGGTGCATACTGGAGGTAGGACTGCACCTACATCAAATGGTAGAGTCCTACTTTGGTCTTTTTGTACCAGATAAAGTACAAAATGTAATCTTTCCTCTGTGCTCTGGGCGTGATGCTAGGGAAGGGTTATGGCTAGTGATTTGTGCTGCTGTCTCTGGTCTCTTTGTGCACCCCTGGGCAAGAGTGGCTTTCTCCGTGCTAGGGTGGGAGTGTGAACAAAGCCAGTGATTCTGGGAGAGCGCTATATGTGGTTGTGTGTCTGATACTGAAATTTGGGCTGAATTTTGGAAGGGGGTTGTGGCCTGTGCCAGCGATCACCCTCGTGTGAGAAAGATGTGTAGTAAAAAGCAGGCAGGAAGGACTGTGTCCAGTTTGAACTATTGGTGAACTGTGATCCCTAAGAAGGGGCTGGCTTGGGGTAGGAAAGTGCTTTTGGGGATTTTTGGTTTTTGATAGCTTAAAGCATGTAATTCTTGTGGTTTCTAACAGTAAAGTTACTGTGGTTAAGAGGCTCCTTTGCAAAGCCTCTATTTTTTGCTGTGGAAGGTAGAATTTAAAAGATACTGGAAGGAGATAAAAGTAGAAGTCTAGAGAGCCAGTAAGGACTCTAAGGCAGTGCGTAGGGGTTCAGGACTTCTTAAACATTACTGTCTGGTGTCTGGGGCAGAATAGAGGTATCTCGCATCTCAGGCAAATGAGGCCAGCAAAAGGTCTGATCCTGGGAACACGTCTTAAAAACCCAGATTTAGCTACTCCCCCTTCTCAGCTGGCTTAAAAGCTCATGGTCCTGTCGCAACACAGTGGTACCCGTACCAAGTGGTGCAAAATTTGAGATTTGAACCCTTTCGTGTGCTTTCTTCTTTGTTCCTGAAGAGTCAGCCCTCCTCCCTGCAGCGTCACAAGGCTGGGCATTGATAGTTTATCTCTGCGTAATGCTGAGTTAAGGGTGTGAGAACAAGGACACTGTACAAATAAGACAGAGCTTTTGTTAAATGAGTGACTGGTACAAGGAGGATGAGACATCTGTTCCCAGTTGCTTATGTGGAGACAAATAAAGCAAGTCAGGAGCTCTTGTTGAATGAAAACACATCCTCCTTTTGACCTGCCCCCATGCTCCTTTACCTGGAGTGTGAAATGGGGCAGACTTGCAATGTACTGAGCTCCGTGTCCCAGATGATCAGGCAATGAAAATAGACAGCTTTCACATGGGCTTTTCTCGTGTGGATAAGTGCAATGGCATGTTCCCCTGTCTGGGACATGATACCACAGGCAGGGACAGCCACCAGCCTCTGATGCAGAATCACTGGATCTGGGAAACCCTTGCACTGAGCAATGAAGAACGTGAGTCCTATTTCACAGTTCTGTCAGCCCAGGCTTAGTAGATCCACAAAGGTGGCCAAAAGGTTAGTGGATGATGAAAGCTGTGCGCCAGGCTTTCACTTAGGCAGCTAAACAATCAACCAGTTTGCCGGAGTCCTTATGATGTCTCCAGCTCCTCTATGGATTTGGCCCTTACAAAGTATTCTGCCTAGTCCAGCGGCTACAAATGCAAGCCTGGAGTCTCAAATAACAAGAGGCTTAAACAAACCAGGAGTCTTCGGAGACCTGGCATTTCAATTAATGCAGGAGGGTGGTTTTGCTTGGGATGCCTGGTGCCATAGCTGTCACCAGCTAACCACTGCATCTGTGGGGTATGAACGCATGGCTGTGACTCTCTTTTTGAGCTGCCACAATGCATGCACAGCTTTTCAAAATGGGACCATTTCTGCTTTTGCTTTGTCTTAAAGTTCAGTCCTTTCAGTCCTATAAACTGCTGCGGCTCAGGAGCTGATTCACAAGCAACTGAGATTTCCCTGCAGCAGGATTGCCCAGACAGCTGTGGGGGGGGGTTGCATGGGATCACTGGGGGGATTAAATGATTCCCTTTTGGCAAACGGAGCCCTGTCAAGTCACAGGAAATACCTGAAAGCTCATCAAAGTGATTTATGTCATCAGGCTAGAGCTGGTGTCTTTCTAGTCACTTTGAAAGTGTTCCCCTTCTGAGAGTGGTGATCGCTGCCTTTTCTTCTCCATATTGCGTCAAAGAGGAAATTGCAAATATGGATCTGGCAGTCAGACACAAAGTTCATCTTGCAAGCGTTGGTGCAGAGCCAGCATGTCTGCTAGAAAATAGCACCTACCAGTATGCAGCACTTTCCCAAGATGGGGATGTATCATTGTTGCCTGCTTTTTAAGGGTAGGGGAAATTAGGACTTGGAAAAAGTACAGCCCAGTCACACAACTGGTGCTGGAGCTCGGCTCCCATGTCCCATTTCCGGATGTTTTGGCTTTCCATATGAGACAGCCTGACTCTGCTGGCTTCAGTCTGACCTCAGGCAAATCCCCTTTCTGCTTCCTTTTGTGTAAACGTGGCGCAGCGATACAGATCACTGCAGGGGCTGAGTGAGGCACCCATCTATGTTTTGTAAGTCAGAGGCTTTATTCTTACTCAAAGCACATGCAACACAAGTATTGAACTCTCACTTCAATTGTTATTTTTAAATTTTCGCAGGAATTCTTATAGAAAGATGGATGGATATCACCACAAGTGTGGGATTTTTTTTTTTTTCCGTTTTAAACTCGATCTCTGGTTTTGCTGTAGGGAGCTGGCAGGTCCCAGGGCCTGTGAAACCTGACTCTGGCACCAGAGGGCATGCTGAGCTCCACAGCTCACTGAAGCTACCTGAAAAATTTCCACTGAAATTAATTTTCAAGGGAAATTCTTTGCTTTTTATTATGCATTCATTTTTACAAGAAATAGCTACTTTCTTCTGAAAACTTTTGGAAGGGGTTCATCTAAATATTTCTTTCCAAAGCTTGCAGATTTTGGGCGAAGGGAGCACAGAGCTTTCTTAAAGCTACTCGGACAATTTCTACAAATCCTACCGTTTCTCTTGTCATATTTTTCAGGGCAGGAAAAAAAAATTACAGAGCAGATCGAATTGCAAATCTGTGTGCTTTGTGGGTTTTGTGACCCTATCCCCAGGGGAGAACAGCCTGAAAGAGACAGTGGGACAGCATGAGGCTCACAAGTATGAGAATGATAATCCTCTTCATGGGAGCGTTCTGGCAGAGGGGGATGTCTGAGGAGAAACTGTACTATTGGCTGTTAGTTCCAAGGGAAATGCTGGAGCATGCGAAAGAAAACAGACATGAATGCAAGCCGTGCACTCGGAGGGGTAGGTGCGGAGACGCCTGCCACGGGGATCCCGGCCGATAAACAGCCAGCTGCACACAGGCGAGCACACGCAGGCACGCACACACGCAGCATCAGGCACCAGGGAGAATCCGGGGTATTTTTCCACAGTATTTGCCAGCTGGCAGCTTTAGAAGTACTTTGTAAACATCGGTTGATGAAGGTTAAAGCACACAGAGAGTCATCACCTTGCAAGGTAGGAGAGGAGCACAGTTCCCTTTCTACGGGCAGAAAGCGGAGAGGTTAAAGGCCCCGCTCTCAATACTTCTACTTTTAAGTGCACAGTTATTAGCTACTCTACTTTTCCAGAGAAGCTCACTCACTGCAGCTCCTGACCACTTCGCTTGGGATGAAGGGAGCCAATTCTAATATTCTTGGCCTAGCTGCCGTGCCTAGGCACAGTCAGCATCTGTGGCAGCACCGGGAACAGCGACGATTACCAGACGTCTGCCCACCCAGCGGGTCGGACTTCCCTCGCAGGGCTGTACGTGTCAGCCTGCAGGCGAGGAAGCAGGTTTGTGCACAGCCACACGTGTGCAAGAGAAGAGGCATGCAGGGAACGCTTTGGTCAGTACCAACTATGCTGCGAACTCTGTGAGGTAAAAGCTGTTTTTCTCCAGTTTGGCACAACAGCAAGCATCTTGGCTGCGTTCCACAAATCAAGGTA